TCTAGGGTTCTTATGTCAAGTTCTTGGAAAGAAGATGGTGGTGTAATCATTTAAATCCAAGGCAAAAGAGAAAAATAATATCATTTAAGTTTTTTTTTTTTTTTTTTTTTTTTGGCAAAGGTGAAGTGTATTGTAGTGAACAAATATAGATTTTATCATGTGAAATTAAAGTCGTTGAACAACATAACTAAAACAGACAAACAAGCATAGAAACTACAACATACATTCGAGCAAAGAAAAACTCAATTATGAAAATAAATTCCATGCGGACTCCATTAATGATCGAGATCTAGAATGAACACTATACTAAGCAGACTCTATTAATTAAGATCACGAGGAAGTTTTTATAGATTCATTTAGGAAAGGCCAGCAACAAATTTTACCATTTTTAAGATTATTTTTAAGGTTATTTACGATTAGGGATAATATTATACCTATTATTCCATAAATTGTCACTGTATTATTTAGAATACGTTCAAATTAGTCTTTTTTTTCCCGGCTCTAGAATATTTTAATATCCAAAAATAGAGATGACTCAAATAAATAACTGATAAAAAAGAAAATTTTCCAGATGTATTTAGGTCAAATAGTAATTTTACGAAATAATAATATTGATTTTCCAATCTAGTCTAAGAATCTTTGATGGAAGTTTTTGTTCTTATCCCTTTGTGTTAACGGAACATAGCATTTGTGATGACCTCAGAAAGCGACAAACGACATCGCTCATATTAATTTATTTACAAATAAACCTAACCCATTTAATTTATTGGAAATATGCTTTCTCAAAAGCTAACTAATTAGTGTAATAAAAGCAATTCAATTGATAACATCATCATTCTCCCTTCTAATATATATGCTTTAATTTTATCAAGCCAATTCATATAATCTAGTCACCAACCATTACACACTAGATTCTCTCTTGTCTTAAAATGTAATATAATAATAATAATAATAATAATAATAATAATAATTTTTCTCAGAAAAAAAAGATAAAGTTAATAATGATAACTCATGAGTGTTTAACTTGGGTTTTGCATAATTCAAAGATATTTCTGATTGATAATGATGCTATCTAAAGCTTAGGTTAAGGCCGATCTATGATGTAGTGAGTACATATAGAGTTTTTAAAATTTAGTATTGAAAGTTCAATATAATATATATTTAAAACAAGGGAAAAAAAAAAGCTTACAATAAAATCTATGAATTTAGAAATCTCTTTCCATTATATACTTGAGTCAATTTAATTAAAGAGTTTTATTAAGAAACATAAACATTTTTGTTTACTTGTTTCTCTTTTTTTTTTAATAAACGTTTCTAAAATTACATAGAATTTATTAAAAAAGAAAATTCTTATTTTTAGTTTCAATTTCTCATTTTTAGACATAAATAAAAATATTATTTTATAATTTTTAACGCAATAAATATTTATAAAAATAAACATAACATACATAATTTGAATATTTAATTTAAAAAACATAATTTTCATATAAAAGTCTTAGTTTTTATTTTTTATTTTAAAATTTTAAAGAACTAGGAACAAATAGTTACGTTTCTTTTTCAATAATAGGAAGGAAAAAAAAACAAAAAAAAACAAGAAATAATTGCAATTGACTTTTGTTTATCGGAACAGAGGAAACGATAATCAATATATCAAATAAGCCCTCAATTTATTATTTTCTCTCTTGTTTGATTTTTTGCACAGCTCTCTAATCTTTTTTTTTTTTGAGCTTAGTGTCATATTACATAAGAGAGTTAGTTTACCGGTTATAGAAAGGTTTTAAGTTTGAAACTTAAATGTAGGGGCAAAGTTTTCTTTTCTATTTCAGTGTAAGATAGGTGGGATGGATACTCGAACCTCAAATCTTTTGGCCAAATATATATATTATAATTGGTTGAACTACGCTGAATACAGGCAGGGAAATTATTATTCTGCGTTTCATTCACCAAACAATGAGGCAATTTGTCCGTAGACTGTAATCATAGCTGGGCTTAAACGTTTTCTCGTTGGGCCAGAAAGTAGTGTTTGATTAGGCCCAGAACGTGAAAATTATTTTTTGTGGGCCACAACTTGGGCCGAAACCCATTATGAAGTCAGTTCCAAACGGAATGTAATTTAGAAATAAATTAGGGAAATAATGCAGGCTAATAGTATTTCTCATTCTTTTAACCTTTTTTTATTTTATTATATATATAGTTCAGTATTTCCGGAATTTGCGGATATAGCAAATTGAGAAGTGAATTTCTCAAAAACGTAATAATTATTAAAATAAATAATAGTATCCTTGATTGGAATATACCTCTTTAATCCACCACTCCAAATTTCGATTAATCAATTATAAGTTTAAAAAAATAGTCTAACATTTTCGATATTTCAAAATAAAAATAGGACATCAAGAGGAATGACCAAAATAAATAGCTGGAGCAGTTAATTTTTTTTTCTCAAATATTTGACAAATTTTCACCTCGAGCACTTGGATTATTGGGTCAAAAAGCTTTTTTTAACCCGGCCCAAAAGTACTCCAACTAATGAAGAAAAATGATATTTGAATTTTTTTTTTCTAGTTAAATATAACTTTGGGCCTAACTTTAGTACATTTATAATTTGATGCTTCAACTTAGTTTGTATTTTAGTTCTCAATTTTTATCTTGATAAGTTTTAAATTTAAGTTTTTATTATCGATTTTTTGATCACGTATAATTAATAGCTCATGACATAGAGATGACAGACATAATGATATGAAATTAGAGTAGGCAGAGAGTAACAAAAGAATAATGTTGAAGAAAAAGACCAGATGAAGTGCTGTTTTTACCGAACAAATTTATCAAAGTGAAATAAAATTTGCACGTTTTATTTAGTACAAAAACTAGCAACATGAAGGTGTCATTGTCACTGTCCTTCATATTGGAAAATTAAAAGGTTTTCAAAATTTAACTATTTAGTTATTCTTTGGTTAATAAATTGGTTTTGCTCCTTCCATCACTCCCTCATTTCACTTCAAAGTATGGTTGGTTAAGTTTTAAAATTAGAAAAACTATTTTTTTAACTTCAAATACTATATAAGAAGAGTTTGTATAGAGGGGAAGGAGACACAGGCTACAGTAACATTGAAATATTAGTATCCATTTTCTTTTTTTTTTTTTTTTGTTAAGGGTCGACAGTTTATCTTCAGATAAGAAAATGAACTACATCACTCTTCATCAACAGTTCTCACACAACTATATAGTTAAATTTAAACTAAATAAAGTTAACACAAACTTTGGTATAAAAACCTGAGGGCGGGTTGGTAGGCAATCCTAATTTTGTTTCTTGTTTTTAGATTAATATTTAGTTAGTTAACTAACGGTAACACCGATCATTTTCAAAATTGAGATTCAATTTTCAAATCTACTATCAAACACATAAAAAAAAACATTGAATCTCTTTTTTTCAGATCATCAATCAAACGCACAGGTTTTCCCTGGTATGAAAATTACTTTCTTTATTCTCATCCATTTTTGACATCTAAGTTATTTGCCTCCACAAGTTTCCTTTGAAAAAAAAAAAGGTATTATTTCAAATAACTCACTTATCTTCTTTTTTCTAGACGTCTCATCTATTTGTCAAAGATTATCTCCTGATTGGTAAGTATTTGTGTAATTACAATTTGATGAAGTTAAATAATCATGTTTGTCTCATAAACAAATCTATCTTTAAGAATGTGTGTATTGATTTAGTTTTTTAACTTTTTAATTTTTTTTGTTTATTTTATAATATTGCTATATTAATTAGTGTGTTTTTTGTATTTGTTAATTCTTTTTATAATTAGTATTATTATGTATTCTTATTTAATATCTTTGTGCATGTTTTAAGTTTTATAATTTGGTAATTCAAAAAATGTCGTTAAAATTTTATAAGAAATTTAGCACAGTTTCTTAAATATTCTCTAAATTTTTATGTTAACAATAATTCAAACATATTATCTTAATTATTCTAAAAAAACATATTATCTTCATTATTTTTTTAACAAATTTAATAATATTTGAGGTAATAGTAGATAAAAATCCCCAGCTCAAAATGAAAAATTCAACATTTGTTATAAGTCCATTAAAATTTCTTACAAATCTCGCTATAAAATTTATAATTTTCGATATAATAATTTTTCTTTACATGAAGAAGTTTATAAAAAAATTATTTTTGACCTTAAAATATAACTATAATTTTTTAATCCCAAAATAAGATATATGCGAATATAAAACATTAACACTTTTGTGAATGAAAACAATATGGATTTATTTTAATTATTAATAAAATTATAAATTGTATTATATTAGATTTAATTAGTCTATATTTGTCTATATATATACACACGCACAAACATAAATATGCACGATACATGGTAAACGACAAGTAATTAATAACATACCGTAAAAAGATAGATATATTAATTCTTTATATAATTGGTAAAACGATAAGATTGATGCACAATCGGATGTGACACATCCCACGACATGATTTGAACTGAATTTTTTTTTCCTTTTATCTTAATCTTATATAGATTTGAGAGATTATTACAAAATTGATTAAAAAAACCATGCTGTGAATCCAACTAGCTTAATTAAACTAGCTAACAAGATCTTAGTCTTAATGTTTTATGTCGAAGCATTGAACACAAGACGGCACAAACAAAGGTGTTGTCGAGAAGACAGATACTAAGACTATTGGTTTTGTCGTAATTTCATGATGAAAATTACAATGTCTTTGAAGCATGTCATATATTGATATCAACATTTCAGAAACAGGCTAATTAAGGAGGCGAAGAAGCCAATGTGAAAAAGTGAAGCTGTTTTTTTTTTTTTTTTACCCTATGAATATGAATGTTGGGGGTTAATTAATGGGATTTTATTTAGACTTTTAAAGTCATTAAAATGTGTCAATTTCAGGCTAAACTCCAAATTCTTTTTCTGTAGAGAAGAAATTTGGTGATATCACCAATTTGAGGGCTTTCATTTTGTCTCCTTCCTCCGACTTGAAAGAAGCCCCATTCTCCTTTATTTTTATTTAACTCCATTTGCTCATCTTCTCTTCCCCCTCTCTATCATCATCATACCCTATTTATCTATTCAATGTCAGTACTGCACCATAATTGCCCTTTCTTCTTCTTCTTCCATGGCTGCTGAACTAGGCCTTCAATACTCTTTGGTTCATCGGAACGACAAGGGACGGAATCTGGAGGGTTTAAACCCTATGCAAACGCCTGAGGTGGTTGTCGATGACGACGACTCGTGGGAAGTCAGAGCTTTTGCTGAGGACACGGCTAATGTCATGGGAACTACTTGGCCTCCTAGGTCTTACACTTGCACTTATTGTAGGAGAGAGTTCAAGTCTGCCCAAGCCCTAGGTGGTCATATGAATGTTCACCGCCGCGATCGAGCTCGGCTCCACCAAGCCCCGGCCAACCCTATCAAACCCTCTTCCTCTTCTCCATCCTCCAGTAGTTCTTTTATCATCCCAACTCCTGATTTTAATGGTGGGGGGCTATGCCTTCTCTACCAATTCCCAAACCCTAATAGTAGCGGTGGGATGATGATCAATAGGCCTACGACTTTAAATGCTTATATTCACTCACCCTCTTCTCTTTTCTCCATGTCCCATCATTCCTTCAACCACTTGATGCCCTCAACCTTGCCACCCTCGGGTTTCCCAGCGAACGACCACGACCACCGTGCCGCTACTGGATCAAGTAGTACTAATTTCTCAGCAATATCTATGGAAAATGGGAACCAAGAGCTTGATCTAGAGCTGAGGCTTGGACATGGCCCTTCAGCTACAACTCTAATTGGAAAAGGGAGAGAAGATCTGTAATGTGGAAGCTGAATATTTGAGGA